GAAATGGAATTTCGACAATATTTTAATTTCTGTTCCTGTTCAGAATATATTCAAAATGAATATGATAGAACTCTTCTTTTATTTTGAAATAAGTGACCGAATTAGGTGTGTGATTAAAAAATTTTACATATTTTTAATATTAAAATAAAAATATTTGTCTGCATTATAAATCCGAAAAATTGGGATGACAAATTACTAAACTGTAGGAAACTAGCAAATTTTCTACGGGAGTAATTGGTCGGAAATTGGATATTAATCATGAAAACTGTGCAGAATTGAATACGTCGACAGCAAGAATATCACAATTTATAGATGTCGAGAATGAAGCGAAACGTCCTCCGCATAGGTTCGAGAAATCGAGAATGTTATCATTAAACAATTTTTAACTAATGCGTTATAGCTAAAACTACTACAATGCTTGTCGAATAATATAAGAAGCTTTTATAAGAGTGTAGATACAATCATCATCCTCTGGCAAGGAACATTTTTTGACAGGTGCTTAGGAAGACGTGAGACTCGGTTCTGCATTACGATATTTATCATATCCTCATACCTTTTGGAATAATGATATTTTCTTGGAATTGTCATAGAGAATTTCATCATCGTACGCCGAATGAAACTCGCTTTTACATATATATTTACCCCTTATTGTTCGGCTTACGAGTTTCATTTCTCCAGGTAAACTAGTTTGGATACACAATCGATTGACTTCACTTGAATGTATAAACATATTTGAATCGACAATTTTGCCTTCTGTCTCATTTATCGTGAGAATTACGCTCTCACTTTGGTGCGCGATAACTGTTCGATTCCCATCGGTCGAACTGTTAAAGAATGGTATTTAATCGTATTCCCAAAATAAAAAATATTCGGGAAAAACTAACTTATGAGAATGGGAAATTAATCCTACAACAAATATATTTACCCTTGCTTATATAATAGTTGGGAAGACTTCTGACGACATCCACTTTTCTTTAAAAACTTAATACAACTAATGGATGAGAGATTAAAATTTATAGTCGATGAGTCTGACGATTAGACGTATTATCAATAATTGATATTTGGGCAACGTCACGGATACAAACGAGTTTGTCTAAAATAATTTGTTTGATTTCAATAATAATGTATATTAAATATTATATTTTAATGTATAGTTCTGTGGGCATGTTTCTGTTAATTAATATTTATAAAAATAACAAGATTGGTTTAAATTCTGCAAATGCTTATTTCAGAACATGTTTGTGTTATACTTGTTATCGAAATCAAAGTTTTATCAGTTAAGTGCTTTCTTGTCATCTGATTAATAAAATATTTGGTTAATTCCAAATAGAAACTGCTAACGTAATTAGTTCTCTTTATTCCAATTACTTGAAAAATATAATAAAAGACTTTCTATAAATTAAGAAGGGAATTCGTGAAAATAGAATATTTCTAAGTTAACGTTGATATTCGATTAATATTGTCTAAGTTATTAATTATGCCAAATTTGACGCCCTCATTTTTACATTGATCGCTTTGGGGTAACGATTTACTTTTGTTGTCGACCTTACACCATCCAAAAGCTATTTTCAACATTTAACATGTATTTTATTAAAATTATATCATTGAAAAGAAATAAGATAAACCCTGCTTTCTTACATTTTAAAATTAAATCTTAAATTAAATAAAAATGTGAATAGCATTGTGAGAATCTGGTGGGGAGTTTTCTTATTTTTTCTTATAAATTTTCGATAGAAATTTATCTGCCGCAAACTTCGATTAAGTTAAAAAGAAAACTTCCTATTTCTCACGGAGGGGAAACCAGCTTAGTTCCTTCGAATGTGATAGTTCGAGAGGATGTCTCAATTTTCTAATAATTTTATTAGATGGAATTTTATATAAAAGGTGAGATGTCACGTTCAAACGCGCTTTAGCCAACGCTCTCGTCCTTCTCCCAGTTCTCTACCTTTACTTGTTTCCAAGAACTTTTAACTCTCCACATCAAATATGGGTGAACTGCAGGTAATATAATTTTAATATGTAAACTCTCTCGTATAGAAAAGCAGTAGGGAATAGATTGTCATTATTTTATCTCCTTTGGAATCATTTATAATCTCGTGGTTTACTTTTATTATAATACCATATATATATTTTTTAAATTAACATATTTGTATAATAACATTGGTCATCCCTTATTAAATTTATTTTTTAATTATTGCCTTCGACTCTTTAGTGCTTAACTCCAGGTAATTCATATATCCCACGTTTTTAACAATTCAATTAAAACCCTCCTAAATTTCAGTCAAGTTTCTAATATACAGTGGATGATGGGTTAACGAACAGATCGGTTAACGAACAAATCGGAGAACGAACACTTTCGCGAAAGATTTTTATGATCGGACAACAAACACTTCACTGAACAAACATAAAAAGAAGCGACGAAAATAGCAAATACCGATTGATCTTCCCTTGTCTTAAGGCCACAATTCGAAACTTTTCGGAGCGATGGAGACGTCGACATCGACGCTCAACCCGGAATATACTGATCAGATAGCATTCCTCCAAACTTTGAAACTCTCTCTTGTAATTCCAGTCTTTTATTTTTTTGACAGAAACAATTCTTTTATAGTATTCGCGAGGATGTCGGGCGGGCACTCGTTAAATGTTGCGTCGAGTTTTATTTTCGAAAGGTAAAATAGCAAAGGTAGAGAGTGGGTAGAAGATGTCTGATGTTGCTGGGCAGTATGGCTTGAACAAATCTACAGTAAGACGCAGTTCAATCTTATCTGAGAAAGATACAGTATAATCAAGATGAATCTGATCTGAAACTGATCTGACGACAGACGAACTCCAAAAACTATCAATTGAAAAAGAGGAAGACGAAAGAGGACCAATGTCGTCATCTGCTACTAAAGATCTTTTGAAGAAGTGGGAGGATGTCAGAACAACGATCAACCAAGTGGAATCCAAACTAGAATAAGGTTAATGGAGTTGGGGATTTCTACAATTACAATACTGATGTTGTCGAAACCGTGTTGTATTTGCTTATTGTGTACTGGCACAATGAAGTGACGTTTTTCTCAACACTGGGCTAGTTGAATCTTTTATTTAGTTAGTTTCTAACTAATTTAGTTAGAAACTAACTTAATTTCTAACTAATTTAGTTTTAATTTAGTTAGAAACTTATTTAGTTTCTAACTAAATAAAAGATTCAACTAGCCCAGTGTTGAGAAAAACGTCACTTCATTGTGTCAGTACACAATAAAAAATTACAATACTATTAATTACTTCCGAAAAATCCTGAAGAAAAGAGAAAAGCAATCGACATTGTACAGATTCTTTAACCCCCACAAACGGAAAAAACATGACTAATAAAAATGCAAGACTGCATGTATGTGTATTTTTATTATTACGTATAAATAAACGTAGTAAAAAAGTATTTATTTTTTATTTTTTGGAGTCTCCGGAACGAACTAATCAAATTTCCATAAAAACCTATGGTAAATCGATAATCGGTTAACGAACAATTCTGATAACGAACAAAGTCTTGAAACGAATTATGTTCATTAACCAATCACCCACTGTATTTCTACTCAAAAAAGAAATAACTTGCAAATTAGGATGCGAGATAATTTATCCTAACTGGTGTCAGAACTCTTGAGAAGATTTCTCTGATTTTTCTTTTATTTTACATAATCCTGAATGTAGAACTGGGTTATCCCAGAGTCTCTGCTTTTCACAGTCTATTTCACATATTGTAATCTAAGACAAATAATTAATCGTCATTAACGTATTTTTAAACAATTTGTACCCGTTTATTCTTCATTCTTTCGTATCACAGCTGTACTTAACAATTTTCTTTAAACAGCATAAGCTCACAATATACAACTTTCTCGCTGTTTTTGCGTTCAATATTAATGTATTGGAAAAAATTAATGAAAAATACAGAAGCCGTGAAATAAAGAAAAAAGGAAAGTGAGAGAGAGTTAAAAATTTTTGTTTTTCGACAGATTAGCTAAAAGCAAATGGAATAAATAACATGAATCGGAGAGAAAGTAATAAAAAATGCAATTGAAAACAGGTTGTGCTTTTCTATTACGGAAAATATAAAATCCATTAACTTGGTTTTTAAAACTAAAAAATTAAATTATATTTTCATAAGTTTTTCCCTTTTTATTTAAATATAGCAATTCAAAATTTTAAGAAATCCTTTTTTATTTTTGTTGGAATTAAAATTTCACGTTATAATTCATTTAATTAAGATCAAATTATTTTCCAATTTTATAAAAAAAACTGTAAAATAATTATTTGGTTAAAAAATTTATTGAATATAGAAATATTTTATCAATATCTGGTAATTTTATCACGTTCATTAACATTAGAAATATGATTTGAGTTAAGAAAAATTCTATATAAATGATAAAATATTTAAAATTTATTTATGCACATTTAACAAATTAACAATTTAAAACTTAAATGTATTTTTTTGAAAAAAATTAAACGCTTGAATTAGATCATTTATATTTAAAATACATTTTTAAATTGAATTATCAGATGTATAACATTAAGATAACTAAAATTCTGATAGAATATAATTAAAAATGAAGATGTCGAAAACTTTTAATTTGTAGAATCACTGGAGTATAAAATTAAAAATAATACTTTTTATATTTAATGTAAGACATGTACTGTAAAAGTTCAAATATTTGGAGTGGATAAAAGAAATATTTTTCAACCGAAGAAAAAAAAATAACACATATGAATTTATATGGATTGATAAAGAATCAGAACTTTCTTCGAATTTTAAAACAAAAATGTTTTGGAATTCCAAATGTAGAAATAACAACTTTCCCACAGAAATATTCTTTTTCAACTTCCAAATATAGCTACACTATTTCAAACGAACTAAACTTACATTAAAAGAATTCTAACTTTATTTTATTTTCTTAAAATGAATTTGAAATTATTTTAAAAGATTTAAATTATATTTTTTATAATATTGATTTAGATATAATACTCACGTCGAATAGTAGTTCTGAAGTCATTGTTATACAACAAACGGCGAGATCACCCAGCGCTAAATTCAAAATAAATATATTGACTCTGGAAGATCTTTTTCTGTACCTCGATCTCGAAAGAACCAACACAATAATCGTGTTTCCAATCAATGTAAGCGTCATTACTACGCCTAAAGTTACCACTCTCTGAATCAATTCTGCATTCCATACGGCTGCATCCGGATATATTTTAGAATAATTTTCAGCCGCTAGAGAAATGCTCGTATTCAAAATTTCTTCTTCCTGTTGTGTTATATTTCTTGTACTGTTCAAAAACTTTCCTGATTTTATTTCCATACTTAGTGCTTTGGGAGATTTCTTAGATGAATGAGAAGACATATAATAACAAGAAAATCTTTTCTGCACAGTAATATTAGTTAAATATAAATTCAAACTTCATATACTCGGAGTTCACTGTCCTCAGTTTGTTTCTTATGAAAGATGTTTTGGTATTCATGGAAAGATTATCAGAGAAATGATGAAATATATCAATTGCTGATTTTACTGAATCTGTAAAAATTAAATTTTATAAATAAAAGGTTATTTACTAATTAAAATATTCAATTCAATTATTAACTTGTTAAATATTATTACTAATTATTGTTTTTGTTATCCCTTGTAACGAAATAAGATTCATACAATAAAGAAATAGATTCAATTATTTATTAAAATATGATGATTCAAAATCAAAATTTTAATGTTAATTTTTTAATGCTATAAAATTCTAATAAAAATTAAAACTACAATAAATACATTGGTTTTTGATAATTTATTGTATTAAATCTCTACAATATTCCTGTTATACCTTTTTTAATTTTTACTTTATATATAACAGAAAGTATGGCAATCGGTCAAAAATGACCCCCCCCCCAATATTTTTATATTTTGGACTAGGGATCTTGAAACATCAAGAAATTTGGGTGTTTTTTCCCCCTCTACGCATGGATGTTTCTCTTTGAAGCTGAATAACTCCTGTGCTTTTTGTTGAAAATTTATGAAATTTTGCAGGAAGGTTTGTGTTTTAAGAGGAATCATGCTTTTAAATTTTTGTGATTAATTAAATGTCGACAGACAGGGGAGATAAAGATAGTCGTCTGATATCCAATGTTGCCGTTCCTAGTACTGTACATTTTTACTTTTCTGGTACATTTTGCCCTTTCCAGTAAAAGTACATTTAGATTTTTAGTACATTTTCAGTACATTATAATATTTCATGTACCATTTACGGTACAATTTAATATTTCACGCCCTAACGAAAAAATGAGAAAAAATTAGTTTAATAAAGTCTCGCTAGTGTCACTGCTTGATAATTTAAATTATCCAATCACAACATACAAATGGTGTGTGTCCGTCGACGTCAGCAACATAGTTGCAAGACCGTTTACACGTGCAACTATGTTGCACGTGTAAACGGTCTTGACTCAGTGGTCTTCTTTCACACGTTCAGTTGTCTGCACATTCTCATCAGGACCTTGACAAAATTTTTCATGCCACGTGGTCCAAACAATTCAACTCCGTCAAACAAAAATAATGGACAGGTAAGGAAATCAATGATTTTAAACTTTTGTCGTCAATAATATCAAAATATCCGTTAAGTCAGAAACAAATTATTACAGAAAATAGTTTTGAAATTGTACGAGTATAAATAATATAAATACTTTTATATTATTTTCTACCACTATAATTTAATTCTTAAATTATGAACTTCAATTTTAGTAATCGTAGTAAAAGAAATAAGGGTTAATGTTACGTATGGTTCCAAAATGGCCGCGCTTCCGACTGTTCCAAGGTCTATATAAGAAGGTCAGGACACGCGTGATCTACTTCTTGAGCTGCCATTTTGGGGTTTTTTGAGTTGCATGTTTTAAGCAAACTTGTACGAGCAGTCAGTTTTATATGACATTAATTAAACTAAAATTGCATAAATCCTGTAATTTCCAGTCAAAAATATAATAATAATTTCGGATGATTATGCAACCCCAATTTTATGTAACGTTTTCATCAAATAGTTTAAAAGAAACAAGCATCCTTATCTTTTGCTGTCATGATTGAAATTAATTAAATAGGTACTAAAACTGATGCAATTACGTATATACCACTTCGTAAAGTGATGCAATAACATCAAAATAATTTAAAGTATAATAAAGAATAAAATAATATAATATAACAAATTTATAATTATTTTTTAAAGCACGATTGGTTATAAAATTAACTTTGTAAGATGAAATTCAATAGTATTATTAATAAATGTTGTCAATGTAATGCTCATTTTATAATAAGTAATAGATGTGTAGATATATTTTTAATTTTAAATAGCTTTCAAAAAATTCCAAAAATAAGATTTAAAATTAAATTATTTGACAATAAACTATATATATATATATACTATTGTGCTATCCGAGGGGACTGAAGCAGAGAGCTTCTCCTCACTTACCGGCTTGGCTATCAGGTAATGGCTATAGGAAGGCAAAAAGGAGTGGGAGGCGTAATGATCAGGTGTCCAAAAGACTACACGGGTTTAAATTAACGAACACATTTAATAAACAACTAAGAAAATTTACATAAAGATATTAAATACAACACACGCGTATCAAGATATAAATAGGTATTCTAAAATCTATTCTAACCTAACGCTAAAGTTCGAGAGAGACCTCACGTTAGAGAGAGATAAATAATTATGGCAAGGGTAGCATATCCTCGTAGGATATGCTCGTATAGGGCGTTGATGAAACGCACTGATCGTCGTCTTCTAAATTCGAGGTGTCCTTTTTAAGGCTATGTAGAGCGATGTCCTTCTCAGGCCGTGCGGCTATGTCCGGTTACGGTGTATGCTCCGTCGCTCCCAATCTGTAGAGTTCTTCCTTAACGAAGTTCTTCGGAGGTTTCTTCGGATAACCTCTCCGAGGAGTAATTCCGTCGTATATGGAGAGAATAGAAAATACTCAGTCTTTTACCTTTCATGGAGCGGCGATTATGAGCTGCTTATATCCTGAGAGGGCTGGAAGATCCTGCGTCGATGTTTCTTCCCCGACGATCGCTGTCCGTTTTCCTTAGCTGTCCAGAGGGGTTTCTTCGGCGTTAGCTCCTCGGCTAAGCGCCCCGAGTAGAAAATCCGACCCCTTTATGTACCCGATCTGCGTGGGAAAAATCTGGGAATTTGTTGACGTCTTTTGACATCTCTCCCTGATTTATTACCATTTCCCGCAACTTATCTCCTTATATACTCATTCTTTTTGTCCGGTCGCTCGGACGTATGGGGGTCACGTGACATCGTGGTCCCTCGTCGATGACTTTCGGACGACGAAAGTCACCCTCGCTAACTACGCAGTTAGTGTGAAAATAAAAAATAGCGTCCGCATTCTCACACTATATATATATATAAATTACGTGCCTATATATGTGTATATATATATATAGGCACGTAAACAAAGTATTCATAGAACTAGTACATTTTGAAGGAAAATAGTACATTTTTTGAAGGCGCTTCAGTACGTTTTGAAATTTTATTGCGGCAACACTGCTCATATCTTGAGTAGGGTCTGACTTAATTTACTGACGAAATTTGGCATGGTGAGGGGCATTGATGCTATTAAATTGTGGTGAGGAGATAAAGGTGTCATGATTTATAGTTTCGAGACGGTTCGAACATTTTTTTTTTATAAAACTCATTCCTACCCTTAAAATTAAGCTTTTTGCCATTTTATAATAATTAGAAATTTAAAAATTTATTTTTAATAAAATATCGTAACAGAGGGCGCCACCAAATGTTGCCGGGAGAGTTAAGCAACTCGTTTCTGAATTTTTGCTAATTGCAACGTCCTTTCCTCGAGCTATAGTACTAATATGATTAAAACATATCCACCGTTTACCTGTTAATTAACATATCTCAAAATTTTGAACAGTAAAACTATGTCTGTTGCATTAATAGATATAATTTTTAACAGTTTTTGAATTTATTAAATTTCGACAAGGTAAAAGTTCTTTTGCACAACAATGATAATATAGAAACACTCTTCTTAAAGATATCATCTTAATAGAATATCCAACAACGAGTTCGGTAACTTTCCCTAAAAATGAATTTAAAATTGCGCCATTTGTTATGATATTTTATTTAAAAAACTTTTTTACATTATTAATTATTTAAAAAAGGCAAAAGGGTACAAATTTAAAAAAATTGTAAATTCTAATAGTAAAATCTTCATTAAGTACGACCCTATTGGAAATATGATATTTGACTCCCCCTCTAACTCCCCACACCCTTAACTTTTATCCACCAAAATTTAATTGCATCAATCCCCTTCCCTTCAAAGTTTCAGAAATTTTCGACAAAAAGCACGGTAGTTATTAAGCTTCAAATTGAATGAACAAAAAAACCGTGCACTTTCTACACACACACACCAAGACCTGTACGTACAGAAAAATCCCGATTATTATTGTATTTCTCGACGTTTCAAGGTGACCTGAGTTCAAAAATGTAAAAATCTCTGTGAGTCAGTTATTGACCAATCGCCACACTTTCCTTCCGTTATATATAACAGTCGGGAAAGTAAAAAACGGAAATTTTTAATGAAACTGTTCATTTTAGAATATTATCTAGATAAAATACAGAAGAAATAAGAACGTCTTTACTTCTGCCCTTTCCAACACTAAAAACTAACAAACAAAACTAACAAACAAAGGTATTCATTCGCAGAGACGACTTTTAATTGTAGGCTATGACTCTGCTACAATGTGAACATTTTTAACTGTTTTGCATATTGTAGCAGAATGGTAGACTACAATAAAAGATCGTCTGTGTGAAGTAAGTCTGTCTATTTGTTCCTGGTGTTGGAAACGGCGGAAGTAAGGACGCTTTTGTATCTTCTGTATTTTATTGATATATATATGAAATATATTGTACGTAATGGTTATTGTATTTTACGTATTGGTTTTTGTATATACGAGTTTGGACTCTGTACAGAAATTATTATATTTACTGTGTTATTAAAAATAGGTCTGTTTGGTAATGTTTTTACTTTGTTCCCCGTACGAAAGGTATAAAACCTTGTAATAAATAAATAAATAAATATATATTTA